ATTAATAAATTGCACAGTTTTTTTTGTTTACGTTAAGCCTTAAAATAGTTTAACATTTTTATTAACACTACGAATGATCTGATATTTGATAACACTGAAGAGAAGGGCAAATAAGTTTAAGAGAGTTAATTAAGTAAGTAAGTAAGTAAGATCAGATAATTAAAAATGTACATAAATTAAATAAATATTTTGTGTAAAATTTAAAGTAACGTTAGTAAGCTACGTTTTCTTACATTTTACTTTTCGTTTAAGAAAATTAATTTTTATTAACTTTGTAAGGATACTTTAGTGTTGCAGAGTTTAAAAAGTTTATTTAATTCATAAAAAGAACTCGAATGATTAGGTATATAAGATAATAAATCGTTTCAAAAGCTTTAACCGATCAATGGCTAAGTAAACAAAACAAATTCTAATTCTAAACCTACACCAGCACATTCTCGGCTCGTTCTCTTGTCATTATTTGCGAACAACCAATAAATTTATTAAATTAAATTTCACACAAATTCTTGTACATATGCGATTTACATTTTTTAATTAATTATTTTTTTATATAGTTACAATTTATTACTTGTTGGCTATGTAAATATGAAACCGGAATCTTTGTACAGAGAAAAAAAGTTTTATGATAAAATATGTATTACATGTATATATATATATATTAGGTAGTCCGGAAATTTGGTTTTTTAAAATATTGTGCCTGGCACTCTAAAAATTTGTAAAAACAAAACGCTGGCAAAGCAACTATGGTGCAAAAGAAAATAGTTTTGTTCAATGGACCATATTGTCCATCTCAATTATCTTTGCAAGAAAAAAAAATGATGAAAGAAAACTTGCAATATAGTGTCGCTTATTAATCAATTGTTTGTTGTCCTATTATTTTGTGCTTTTTGTCTTTCCTTTGTTCATTAGCGTCGAAATTTGTGGATCCCATTTATGGCATAAACTCAGCACTTGTTGATGTACGTATAATAGGGGGCATCTTCGTTCGTCTATTAAATTTAAAGCATTCACTATAGCAAGGCATCAACGTCTTGTTGGTTGTATTCGGAAAATTATTGCTTTTATATAATTGTCTCTGCCTTTTTGGATCTATTATGAGTTATTGTTCACAGTTTATCTTAATGTCCCACGTTTACGTTATGCTGTGGATGTGGAAATAGCAATGGCTTACATTCCAGCTTATTTGTCCTTCAAAGCAGATGCGCACACAAGAAAAAATCCCTTGCTAAGCTATTATTTATTTAAAAACAATACCAACAAGGGCCGCAACAAGCAACAAAAGCTACGAATTTTATTTTGGTTTCTACAGCATTTTTATATTGTTTGGCGACTTGAAAGCTTTCGTTTGGCCCCTTGAAATTTAGAGCTGAAATAATTATTTAATAATTTCCATGACAGGTTATATAATTGTCGATTGTTGCAACGTGTCCAAACACGTTCATTAATCATTTAAGTACTCCAAGAAATAAAAAACAAAAAAAATAAACCACAAATAATATGTTGTAGCTCAAGCAATTGAGTGTTCAGTGTAACATCTATCGATTTATTTCCCTTTTTTGTAAGCTTAATTATCTTAATTTAGATTGATCTTCAAAATTAATTCAAGCCGATTCGATCATATGATCTGACAGGCGTGCATTTGGAAGTGAGGAGGAAGGAAAACCCTGCCTGGAATATTTATTTATTTGGCTAATGCGAGGCAAACATTGGCGGCATACAAAGAGCTCTACAGTTACTTATGAAACCCTATACCACTTGTTATGCAAGGGCATATTAAGTTTGCGCGTACATGTGTAATACTCAGAGCTACTTGAAATGAACGCATTTTATAGTATACCGAGCGATTGAGAACCACTTTCCAAGCAAGCCGGTCATTCTGTCCGCCTTCTTTCCTTATGTTGAGATTAAGGCACACAACTTTGAGATATTTTGATGAAATTCGGCATACCGATAAATTTTGGCCCAAAGATAAATGTTATTGAACATGGTTCCGATCGGATCTATTATCCGACCACTTCCCATATAAAACCCTATTTTGAAATATCGTTATATAGAATAATAGTATTCAGCAAAGTGGAGCAGGGTGCCTATAGTGGAGCACGGGCTTTTTTTGTTTTACACGTATTTTGGGTTAATTTTTAATAAAAGAAAGCTTACACTAAATTTATATTTTTATTCATACACATAAATACCTTATTTATTTGTGTGATCGCTTAACGGAAAGTATTATTATTATTATTACTATTATTATAATTAATTTAACCAGAGAAATGGTAAGATTAAAGTCGTAAAGCGCTAGCATCTGAGAACATATCTACCGAGTTTCGAACCACGACCATTGAGCTTTTAGTCCAGATCCTTTGCCTACTCGGCCACTCAGACGGATCATTCAAGGAAAATATGTATTCTGATATGACGAATTATTTCAGATTATGACGAATGAAGGCACAAAGGATAATATATAATAGCAACCATTAGTGTGTTTGTTCAATCAACATTAAAGGAGTTAAATAAATAGTTTGTACTTAAAACGGTAGAACGAAAATTTAATTGGGATAAAATGCCTGAATGCTTGCTGCGGTGTATTAAAATTAACTTCACCAAGTAAAATAAGTGACGAGATTAAATCGTCAACCTATTTAACCACAAAGGTGACTCAAAGTGCCAGTCTTCACGTATAAAAGATTGACTAATGGGGGCAAAATACAACTGGGACTTTATCCTAGTCCTTGGATAAACATATTCTTTAAAGAAACCTTATGGGCTCTCGTTCTTTTAAGTCGCAAAGCTCTAGAGTTGTCCTCAAAACTACAAAGGAAGATTAGAAGTTAATTGCGGTTAGTAAGATTGGAAATATCCACTTAGATTTCAACGGTGATGTGGCGTGCTAAATGAAACGTTTATCTAATCGTATATATGGGCTCAATTAATTGGTTTAATTTCATTTCTCTTCAAGCGCCGCTGCGGATTATTACATATAATAATTTTCTAAAACACAATGTAAGAAAAAAAAAATCGTAAATAATTCGTAAGACTTCAACATATGCATAAAATAAAATCAAATAATAATGTTTTCCTAAAAAAAAAAAAAAAAAAAAAAAGTTTTATTATATAGCAAATCAAGAGAACTTTGAAAATATGTATTCATTGCATTGGAAACGTGTTAACACAAAATTAATAACCAAAGCAACGGTAATGTAAAAATGCATGGAAATAATTTCTTAATCACCACACTAGACTTAATACTTCATTACGGTGGTAACACAAATTTAAATAAAAAATTTTTTCGATTTATTTGTCTGTATCTGTCCATCCACCCATCATTCGTCGAAAATTGTCCTGATCGCTAGACTTAAGATAAAAATCTAAAACGTGACAAATATGTTGTCGAATAAAAAACTGGTTGCTCTTCATCTCCATAAACACTACGTAGGGTAGTCAATTATGACCGCTGCAAGATCACGCTAAAGTCAAGTGCAAAGCTAACATTTTAATAAATAATGAGATACTTTGATATATTTGTACCGTAAACTTAAGATGGTAACTACACATTATTCGCCCCTAGCTGAATATTAATATTAATTTCTTGCTTGTTTTCGAAGCTTACGAAAATGAACGAAAAAAAAAAAAAAATACTAACATTTAAAAAAATAAAGTTTAAAATAATAAATAACAATAATAATTTAATAACAATATTTCTTTGCCCATAAAAGTCACAAATATAAACATATAATAATTTTGCCTTTATATCTACGGAAATAAAGAGTTAAATTTATGCAAATGGAAAAAAAAAAAAAAAATCAAGTGAAATAAAACGTTTCTTTTTGACGTATTAATAAAAAATGAATGCAATAAGGAAGAATTACTTACGTTCGAAACGAATGGCAAATGTTCCCTACCTCGTCTTCGATCTGAATTTACGCTTCCATTTAGAGATGCGTTCGCGGCTTTATAAAGTCAGATATGCTTTGCGATTTATTAAGAAGTGGTCTCGTAGATTTGAAGACCCGTGCATAACAAAATGTTTATCGAACGCGTTGGTTAGCTCAACTCTAGGAAACGCGTTCATAGTGTGTTCCCTAATTGCTTTAATTGGGTCTGTTTAGAAACAATGTCAATGATTTTCAAGTACGCTCTTCCTCCTCTTATCATCGAAATCTTCATAAGCGGAGACTTGTTGTTGTTTGTTGTTATTTTGTGGTTAAACTGATAAATGGGGTAATCTGGTCACCCGGGTTAATGGGAAAAATTAAGCGAGCAGCGAGGCAGTTTATCCTTTCTTTCGCACGAACAATGACCTTTGTAACTACCTTTGCTAATGATTATTATCACTTATTTTCTTCTTTGTCTGACTCGGTTAACGGAATCATAACGTTAATAATGCACTCACCATAATTATGAACTGCACTATTGTTTAGACAGTATGTATATAAATTGTGTTGAATAGGCATCAATGGACAATATATTATGCATAACTGAAAATTTATGACTTTTTCATATCCTTTTTCAAAATCAATGGCTGTCTTTTATTAGCCGAATGAATAAATAAAGAGTTCTTTTAGATGAATGACAAGGCGAAATTCGATCGATCAGGATTAATTTTTTATAAGTCGTTTAGATAGACCTGGAAAACATTTTTAGCAGGTATTCGTTGCAGCAATAGTACGTTCCAACAACAACAGATCCCTGTGTAGATAAGTGAGGAAAAATAATTTTATTTTCTGCATTTAACTAAGTTTAACTAAGGACATTGCATAACTTTTAGATTTTTGTCTACGCTTTTGCTTTCTTTCAAAGTTCGAGCGTACGATCGGACAGACAGACATATTTCTGTGTGTCCGACCAGCAGATTGTAATGACTGGTGAAGTGACATGTTCCAGAACCAAAATAATTAAAATTGATTTCATACGTAATTTTATTTATCTACGTAAAGCATATATATATATATATATATATATATACACAATTGTATTAATTTTAACTTTATGAAAAAAAAAAGAATTAAACAAATGCTCTCAATTAAAGCAATACAAAAAAAATACATTGGTTTTTGTTACTATTGTGTGACAAATTGACAACATTTTCGTTTCGTCGCCAAGCTGTTGCAAAAAGGCATATATGCCAGCACGTTTTTTACGTGAATATTGGATTAAATATAATTCTTTTAATGTGCTACGCTTGCTGCTTTTACTCTCACATGAGTGAATAATAATTTTACTCTCTTCACTATTTATGTTAACTAGATTGGTAAGTGCGTTTGTTTTTATTATATTTTAAAACGAAGAAAAAGAAAAAATGCATAGATTTGATAAGACAATCAGTCAAGTTTAGTAATAAGTGTAATAGAAATGTATGCTGACGGTTAGATATTTGTCTCTTCCGGACCTTAAAGTCAGTGATATACATGGTTATTCATTTTGCGGCTCCGAAATTAGATGTAAATTAAATATACTTCTGAATGAGATTTTGATTAAATTCTTCCTTCAGTCCATTGTTTCGACATTGCCAATATATGTGGAACACAACATAATGTCTTCCATAGGATAGATATTCGTTTTCAAAGTGTCAAAATTCTGAGGATTGTTCGCGTAAACTCGATCCTTTGCGCCGCTCCACACAAAAAAGTCTAGTACTGAGAAATCGCACGATTATAGCCGTCAATGCAAACGGGTTGTGCTGTACGGTCACGGAAACCACATATCTGCCATGTGTTTAATTTCAACATCTAAAAAAAGATGGCAATCATGCTGCTAGAGCAATTAGAATTGCCGGTTCGCGCTACGTCCTCCCCACCTTCATACACAATACCACATCTCACAATGCCTTTGTAGAAATGCAATGGTTTTTCATCAGTTATTTGTGGATTTTCATCGCCCCAGATGTCTCAGATATATACATATATATGTATATATGTAAGCACTTTGTTCTGCAAGAGTTTTATTTTTATTGTATTTCGGTTGTTTCAATGTTATCATATTACATATATATATTTAATAATAATTTCGCTTGGTTTCAATTATCTATACGTTGCCACAATTTCACTTTGTAATTTGAATTTCAGGAGTTTGATCGTTCACGACGACGAATTTTTTATCGATTTTAGACAATGTTACCCTTTTTGTCTGCTTATCTGTTCAATCGAAAAACAGTTCACTCACATCTCCATAAAAACTAACATAAAACTGCATCCCAAAAACAAAACCTTGTAAATATTATCTGTCAGATTTGTTTTGCAGTTATACTTCCGCTCGCAGCCGATGAAATTAAGAAACTACTCATCGGGAATCGGGATATATTTGGGCAAACAAAGTTAAAGTATTTTGATTGAATGAGCAAACTAATCGTGCGGGGAAATTGGTTGCTTCCATACATCTAATTATGGATGATGCCAAGGACAAGTTGAACCTTCAAGGATGCATTGAACGGAAAGTTAAAAAGAATTTTTTAGAAGTGGGTCTACAATGCACTTATCATCATTAATCCTCTATTAATGCTCACCTAGTTCTTCCATTATATCCGAATAACATTGAGAACATCAAGATCAAAACATTTACGAGAATTCGCTTTGGATATTTTAGAAATGTTCTTCGTCAGTCTGCAATCGAAGACAACTTGCTAAAATAAAGCACTTTCTTGCGTCTGCTCAAATTGTTCCTTTTTTGGAAAAATCGCCTTCGGAATAACTAACCCTATTGACATCCTGAAATTAGTTACAGAACTCAATATCAATTTAATATATTACATTATTAAAACCATTAGGCTCAATATCGAACTTATAGCGCCTAAAGTAGAGCCAATAGCCTATGGTGCTAGTGCTCAATTTTTTTTCTTTTTAAATCTAAGAATTTATGTCATTGGTCTAAAAAAAGCGAAAACATTATAGTGAAAAGCAGACCACCAGTGAATACCCTACACCACTTCTGCTAATATAGTTGTTTTTATAACCACTTTTCACAATAAGCTTTTGTGTAGCGAGTGATCGAAAAAATGCTCCGATCCGAACCATTTTCATCAGTCTTCTGTATTGGGCTAAAATATATCGGTGTACTAAATTTCATTAAAATATTTGAGATGGACGGACAAACAGGCGGACAGACAAGCATAGATCAGTATAACAAAAGTTCGTTGCATATATCCGCACAAACTTCAGCAAGCTTCATATTGAACTAGTTTCTGAGTTACTCAAAAGTTTCGAGTTGAAATATTCATGAATACCTTAAATTTTCGCTAAACTTAATTTTTCTCGCGATTATAATGCTTACGTATAATAATTCTTGTATTTGTACGCCGATATGCTTGATATACTTGTATTTGCATAATTTCTTGCATTTATATGCGGGCGTGATTTAATTTTATTTTATTTCATTTCTTTTTTTTCACACTACTCCGTTCGTTTATTTACTGCATGTGAATTATTTATTGACAAAGATAAAATTAATCTTGAATTCGACTTTATTTCTACTTTATTCCCACGGTTGTATGGGTGCATATACAAATAAAAATTATTATTAATGACAATATTTGTAGAATATATTAACTTTAATTCTACGGAAATATTTGTCACAAATGTAGTTTTTATCCGCTACACCACTTGGGGTACAAGGATATATTAAGTTTGAGCGGATGCATGCAACATCCAGAAGAACTCGAGAGAGATCCAACTTTTATTATATCGATCGACGCAAAATCAGTTTCTGAAACGATCTAAGCTTGCGCGTTCATCCGTCCCTCCGTCCTATTTTCTTCCATTCAATCTTCAGGCCGCAATTTTTGAGATATTTTGATGAAATTTGATAAACTGATATGTTTTAGCTCTGGGGTGAACGCTATTGAAAACGATTGGGATCGGACCACTTTTTCGACTATTTCCGATGTGATGCCTTATTGTGAAAAATGCTTATATGAATAACTGGTGCGTGGCGTAGGGTATTTAATGGTATGCCGTAACGTATTGTAGTGTTTTTACTTGTTAAAAAACAGAACCGATCCTGGTACTTGTCCTAGTTTATCCCTCGTTATTTACTTCCTTAGTCAAAAATGAATTGTAATATTAATATTAATAATCACAATAACAACAATCGAAATAGTAGACTTTTCCCCTAAAAAGGGTTAGTAAAATTCATCTGGTCGCAAGTTTGGTCGAGAAATTCTTGTGTGCAAAATAAATGAAATATCTTATACTTACAATAAATGTAATAAATATTCTTACGGTACCGGTTTATCGAGTAAAACTAGTGTTTATAAAAAGCGTGTGTCATAATTATAGTTATAACGAAAAACATAAATAAACATCAATTTTGGCAAATTGTATTATTTCTGTTACGCAAACGCCTTTAGAAAGTATAGCAAGCAAGAAAATTGTAATCGGCTATGACCGAATCGTTTATATGCGCCCGTCAACTTTAGCCTAAAAAAAATAAACACACATTCACATTTTATAATAGTCACAACGCCTGGTCGGGGATTTTTCTACAGAATAAGTACGGTAATATTTATCGTGTGTTTATGTTGTAGTTCAGCAAAACCCCAGAAAGCAAAACCGTTGTCATTCTACGTTGCTTAGTGGGTATGCTCTTCGATCGATTTACTCCATTTTCAGTACTAACCTATGTGCAGAAATTTCCATTCTTTCTACCAAATTTGAAGCCGATTTAACATCGACGGACGGAGGGACAAACTTAAATCGATTCAGTATTTGATATTAATCAAAAATGTATGTACTTAATGGAATCTCTAAGGCATTCTTCTGCATGCTGCAAGCAAAATTACCGCTTCCTCCGTTAACGGGTATAAAAAATGAATAAACGTAAAATGATCTATAAACGCAAAGTTTAACCGTTTGGTCATTTAACTTTGTTTCAGTAGGATGTTCGGCACCATTCTCGGGACGAATATGCAAATGATTCTAACGAATACTCTGGTAAAAGTGTTCGGAAATATCGTCATGCAAATCAAGGCTATAGCCTAAATATGAAAAAAATGTCGGTGTTTTCTTGCATGTGTGTGCGTGTGAAATTGTTTCAGTCTCTACTTTACCGCGTAGGGATCAGAATCACTTTTTAACCTTGGATTCTTAGCCACTCAAGGAATGTCCACATTATCTGCTTGTTATTTTCAATTTTACGACTACGGCAACTCCACGAGGCAGATGGATTATGCTGACACATTTTGCAAAATGTCAACGACTTTTTTCAAAACTTTTGCTATCTTTATATTTAATATCGAATATTTGATATTCGCTTCAAGGTAAATGAAGCTTTTCTATCTACTTTATTATCTTTCTTAGTTCAATTTTGTAGTAAAAAATTTTTTAAGATAAATTCTTTATTTTTTTTTTTTTTTTTTGTAGATTTTTTCTTCTTTTTCGTATACCTGATTGAACGCGAAGTTGTTGTTGTTCTTTTCATTTTTTTCTTCTTTTATTTTGCTTTGCATAATCACGTACTTTGATTAATTAAAAAACTTCTCGAAAACCTCATTCATTCACAATTATGAGAATTCTACTAAAGAAGTGAAGGAGAAGAAAATTCGAAACAGCAGAAGCACAACAAAAAATAATAAAAAAAAAAATCTTATAATCATTAACCCATTTTTTTTCGCTATTTAGACTTTCACAAAAAATTTTGTAAAATTCTATAGAGTCGCGATTATGATGCAGGAGGAAAGTAAGAGCAAAAAAACAAAAAAAAACGCAAACTACAAAAGCATCAATAATTTATAACTAGTTTTTCCCACAAACTAAGAGCGGCAGAAAAAACACCAAAAAAAAAAAAAGAAGAAAATTCAAAGTCCGTTCAACATCCGCTTATTAAATTTAACCAATCGAACGTAGTATAAAAGAGAATCTAACGTTAATGAAAAAGAAATAATGTAAACACTATACAATAATAATAAAAAATAATGATATAAAAAATGAATATAAAAAATATTTATATTTACAGAAAAAAACATTAATGCAGTAATGCCGCACTATAATAAGAAGAACAATAAGAATTTTTGCACAGAAAACAATATTGAAAAATATTTTATACAAAGCAATTAAATAAATAAAATAAAAACTTGAACCGAAACTGTTACGTAAAGACCGACCTGACAATTTGTTACCCTTTGTTGTATTCTAAGCAGATATAGATGAAGAGCAATACAATCGATAGAGATTTTCGATAGGAAAATAATTGGACGCGTTTAGATTGGTAGATGGTGAACACATTAACGGACATAAGTGCTCTAATGCATTCGTTTTCATTGTGATGCAAAATGACGTAAATGTTATAATGTTTCAATCTTGAAGGCAATTAATTAGTTTCTATTTACATTTATCTAACGTTAATATATATTAAATATTTATTTATTCATTGGCTATATATTTTGTAAATAAATTTACAAAATATGCATATAAAGACTCCCGGATAACGTAGATCATATGATCGCTTCTATCGAAAACTCTATCGCACACTTGGGATTTGAACTCGCGACTTATGAGTTCTTAGTCGTGATTCCTCGCCGTACTCGTCTACTCATGCGGATATATATGGAATATATTATTTGAAAAATTTGATATATACCCTCGTGGATCTTATCGCACTCATTCCATGTATGCAATCATATTATGAATACTTTGGCGAAATGTTTTGTCATCAGATTTCGGATAATACACAATTAATTTTAAAATAAATTGACTATCATTAAAATTTCTGGTGTCCGTCAGTGTGTTAGGTGGTCATATGGGGATTGTGGTATTAAAAAAAAAAAAAAAAATAATAATAATAATAATCAAAGTGGATCAATATCATGGCATTATTTTATTACCTCATATATTTATTGCATGTTCATCACATTCTTTACGTTGTATGTTTGCACTAGCAGGTGGTGTATTCCATTTTGTCTTTTATAATTATTCTCCATATTTTTTAGAATATATATATTTTTTTCTTTTCTTTTTGATAAGGGAGCAAAAGCTATTACCAGCATGGCATGCTTTTTTTTTTTGCATTAAGTTGAAAGAAAAAAAAAAACATGCCAACAAAACATAGACCGCGAGAGAGGTTTTCATTTTTTTTTTTTTTTTATACATGCACTTCATTATGTTGAAAAAAAAAAAAAAAAACAAAAACACTATTTGATATTTCGTTGTATTCGTCCGTTTTGTTGTTTTTTGGCCTTTGTAGAAATCACCACCAGCAGCACGCAAACATAACAAAAACTGAAAAACAAAAGAACAATTACAACAAAATCCGGTTGAAGTGCTATTTTGTTTTACTTTAAATAATGATAACAAATAACCGTAGATGCTTACTCATGTGCGTTAAAAAGACGAAAAAAAAAAAATAAATAAAAATAACAGCTCCACCACTTTTTTATACTTACCATCGGAGTGTGTATTAACTTTGTCATAATACATATGCGGAGAAAAACTGAAAAATCTTATAATATCTTCGTTCTATATAAATGATTGTATTTTGTTAGCTCAGTAGTGGACACGAAAGTTTAACGGGGACTATTATCTCATTATTGCACTATTTTAAGTCTCAAAAATCGAATGGATTCGTGAATACGCGCTTGCATTCAAATCTCTCAGATAACTTTAAAAAGTAAAAACGCACGCCTTGAAACCATTCAATGTTAAATACCTCAATAGCTGAAGTTTATTCGCACAGATTTTTGCCAGAATTTTCTGTATTCCGAAAATCCGACGATGATAGAAGATTATGAGCTGCTTCATAATTTCCAATAAACGATCAGATATATCGCTTTGGAATACACTCATGTACACTTTGTGGATTGAAAACGAAATAAAGGGAATAAAAAATTATGTGAATTGCAAAATGACAGAACTGTTTTATATCCAGAAAGAAAGTAAGGAAATAATATTCGCTTTGCGCCAACTCTTTATACCACAATATATAATATCATATATATAAAACAGAACAAACTATAGAACATAACTTGTAACATAATTTTCGCTACTTGCTGAATATTTGCAAACACATCCAACATTCAGGGAAAGGTTAAATGCATGAAAGATGTATTGACTTTCAATCTCGCGTGATTTATAAGACATAACTCAGTAAATCTCCTACATGACCTACATACAATGAACAAGTCCATCCGTCAAACGACATACGTTCAAATTTCGTGATATTCCGACAGTTAGTTTACAGTTGCTTTAGTGAGATTGTGGCTTTTTTTGTGGCTTTGGACGGCTTCCGCCGGTTGCTGTTCACCCGGCTGGCCGGCAATTTAACTCTGGAATGTAGAAATGAAGCCTTGTTTCCTCCATTGTCTCATATCGCTGCTTCCTCTTCTGAGATAAGTCACTTATCGAGCTATTTTCGTAATGAAGCGCTGGTCAGAAAGTGCGCGTCCTGTCGATCAAGGTAAGCGACAAGAACGACAACCTGTGTTTGGTCAGTAAAGCGCATAGTCTAACACTTCATAGTTGAGTGTAAAGTAGGAAATTACCTTATGTTGCTGTTTTTGATCTTCGGGTTGTTTTTTTTTTTTTTTTGAAGAGCGACCAGTTGAAATCGATCAAATTTTATTGGTAGCAACTTTAACAACGAATGACAAATGAAGTTCTTCTCATCAAGCAGGGGATACCGTCTTCCTGCCAGAGCAATTTAGTCTTGTGAATGGTACGCATGGATCTACTCATCTGTGAATTATTACGCTTGCGATTCCCAAAATAGATAAGCTTTTCATTCTCAGTTAGGATATGATGCAAAAGGAACTTTCTTTTGTTTTGCTCTAGAGCTAATGCTCTTTATTCGGTGTAAGATTCGATGTTTCCGTTGTTGGGGAAAATATTTTTGCGTTGCGATATGGGTTTCCAGTTCGACTGCTTATTATTGCCAGATGTTCAAGCTGTAAAAAAACACAACCTCAACGATCGTGCCCTTTAAAGCTGCTGTTAGAGCTATCTACGGCAAACTCCGGCTTTGTACCTAACATCCCTAATATGTAAAGTATTCTTTCCAGTAAATATTAAATTTCCTCAATAAAATGATCTATGATTTGTATTAATAAGGATAAAGTAAACCTACCACAAGCAACAATATGAATGGTCGAAGATTTCTTTTGTGTAGACACTCTTTCTTATTTCTTTGCCATAGCGGCGTAGCGAACGAAGCAATAAATTTAAATAATTTGGGAATCATATTATGTGATCCCTTGCTGTGGACATCATCCACGTAATCAACACATCATTGTGGACAGTTGTTCACGCTGGGCATGAGAATAAGCTTCGGCACCTAATGCTTGAATATTTGAAGCAGATTGTTACCAGCTGCGATTGGTTGAGTTACACGACTGCAATTAGCAGAGAACTTTTGCTTTTTCTAAGGCATCGAGGTAAAGTTGATCCCGAGGGGAAAACAATTTTCTGATTTGTTTTTAATTTGTACGAGATTATCGTAATGGTTACAGTTGCCCTCATGCAATAAAATGACATGAAATTTTTTTAATATGCGTTAAGTTAGACTAAGCGGTTAGTAATGCCTTTTATCTTAGACTGACGTCTACTATAAATACTGCTGAGCGAACATTTTCTATTGACGCACAACACATGTCATGGCTAAGCCTATGACAATTACATTCCTCAAGAAGTAAATGGATCTGAAACCGATGCCTGCTTATGCTTAATAATGTCCTGTGTACTCTAAGGATTTGCATGCTTTTCATTTAGTTTCTTTACATCTTAATCGATAGTTATAAAATTTACAATAATTTATATATTTGGTTAAATGAAACAACTTTTTAAATGCGACGATATTTTGTTTTTTCTTTTCACACAACCTTTTAAACTGTAGTGGTTTGGCTTGTTATGGGGGCACGCTTTTTAATTTAAAAATAATCTCCCACCTTCGCGTTCTTAATTGTTGATAATAAACATATATATGTATGTGGACTTTTTTTCCATCGTTTATTTTTTTTTCTTTTTCAAGCATAATGCTTGCACGGCTGGCTATATTTACTGTCATGAATATTTAACAAATCTATTAATATAATAATGCACAATGGAAAAAGTGTATAATATTTTGCAGTTAATGGTATACGAAAAAAAAATTTTAAAAAATTTCATACGATATTTATCAATTAATTGAATTTTTCTGCCGACGTTTCACTATATATAATTTTTATAAAAAAAAAAAAAAAAAAAAAAAAAAAAAAAAAAAAAACAAATATGCTAATTAAATTTGATTATGAAAATTTTTTAAATGAATTTAAATTTTTAAGTATTTATGCGTTTCGTAATTTATGCAATATTCATAATTTCTTCATTAAATTTTTTTTTTTTTTTTTTTTTGATTTTATTTTATTTAAAGCACATTATAGAGGGCTTAACGATTCCTACTTATCACCTTAAAGCATGAAGGGTTGGTTCGATGCGTTTCGAGACGATGGCGGACCTACGCTATATTCGTTTTCGAATCGTACTCCCGTTACAGGGGACGTATCTATCGTAGCAGTTTCGGTTATGTTTGCAACATTTTATGTTGCATTCTTAGTTATTTTTCCAGGTGTAAGAAAACAGGTAAGCAATCGATAACTTTTTTACATACAAATTTACTTACATTAAATCAAAAGCATATCAATCGCAATTCTATGGTTTGCTGTAATACATGGGACTACAAATGTGTGCGAGTAAAATTAATTAGTAGCAAGCAAGAGATATAAACAAAGAGAAATTGAAGAAACTAATGGCAAACCAGTGACTCAATTTGACCGTAGATATACATGCACATACGCCCATCGTTGCTTCATAAAAGGGCATTTATCAAATCAAAGAGTGTCTCTGAACTCTAAGAGGAATTCATAAGGAGAATTTGACTGGCTTCTAGAAAATTTTACAAAAAACAACATCCTCATCCTTATACCTTCAATATGTAATAGACAGTACGAGAACACATACATGCTTTTATATACTTGAGAATGTAAAAAGTTTAGTGATCGCCTTGCGTTTTAATAGATCTTGTGGAAGACTTAACTCATGTCATTTTATTTATTTACTACTCCACAGAAAATTTCTCTTAACACCATGTAATATGAAACAATCCGTCGCAGGTTTCTATAAACAGCTACCACAAGACCCATATTTGGTTCATCTAGAATTTAGTCTGAGAAAAATGACCAAGTAAAAGCATTATAGCGGGCCAAGACCGCCGTTAAATCCCCAACATCATTTGACTCAATACAGTTACTCCTTATTTTGAAAAGTCATTGTACGGTTTGTAATCGATTCAAATGATTTTTAATAGCGTTTGTGTTTGGATCAGAACACGTCGGTATATAAAGATTCAACAAAATATCTCAAAAGTTGCGCCCTATTGGTTGAGCACAACAATATAAGATTGACATACGGACAACAGACAGAACGACTGATAGGTTCAAATAGATTCAGAAAATAGTTGTGAATCGATCGGTGCAATGAAAAGTGGGTCTATCTCAAATTCCTCTAGGTAAGGTGTACATATGTACAAACTTGTCATATAGTGTAGGGTATAAAGCAAAGAATTTAAATTCAAATTTAAAATTTCAATAAAGTATTGGGTCGGTACAAGTGATTTTTTTTAAATTTGACAGATCGATCGACAAGCAAACTAAGGATTAATTGAATTTTCTCTATCTGTTAATGTGTATCTGGACGTTTTCTCTTAAAACTGTCAGAGTCATTTCTACGCAAACGTAGCAAACCTAATGCCGCCCTCTAGTGGGTACAAGAGACAAGTGCGTGGTGCAGTTGTCATAACCTAAATAAAGTCATTTTTTTTAGGCTTTTAGTTTCATTTTAGTGAAGTAACTTAATTTTATAAAATAATTTCGATGCATGTATGTTGAAGCATGTACGTTATAAGGCATATGGGAGGCATATTTATGCGTATATATATATATATATATATATATATATATATATGTTATTTGTATCTGTGAGAAGTTATTTTATTTGTAATGCCTATCTAATATAAAGCTATTGCTTGTCGTTGTAGTTTTCCAAAAAACCATGTACTTAATTATCTGAAAATATATGTAAGTATAGTATATGGTCTTTTGTATCGTTGTTGTTTTTTTTTTTTTTTGGTATTGTTGCTGTTGTTGTTGTTATTATTATTATTATTATTATTATTATTATTATTATTATTATTTTTGTACAACATTAGATATACAATATTTTCCATTTGAAAATGCACAAATTCCGATTTTCAATTACCATTATTTTGTCAAAACATATTCGAATTCACTATAATAGAAATGCTTTACTTGCTTCACTCGTTTTACCCGTCCGGCCATTCTGTTCACAACATTTTATGCTCTATCTGTTCTATTCAATTAATGTAAATTTTCTAATCATTTTTGCATATTTGGTACAACAATCATTATTATTAGTACATTTATAAAGTTATATACATTTGTACGTATGTCAATATATAAATATATGTATATATATTAAATGCGTATATATACACATATGTGTGTGTGTGTAGGTGTGTGTGTGTGTGTGCGCGTATGTGTGCTTGTATGTTCTCATGTATTGAAATGTTGACTTTTTTTTTTTATATATTTATTTTTTTTTATTTAAATCGTGTGCACATTTACTGTAATTTGTTATACATATTTCTATGTTATGTTGAAAATGTCTGATGTGATTTGCTTTGCTTTGATTATACCTGTATGTCAGTGTATGATGGAAAAATTATAGTGTGTGGTTGTGCTGCATGTATATACATAAACATGTGCATATATATATGCAAATATATATATATATATATATATATAGATATATGTATATCTATGTGTGCAAATATTTATATTTATATGCACATGTGTCTACTGACTGGTGTACGCACACCAAATGACAGTTGCTCTAACATTAAATGCCAAAATTATATATTCTTAAACATATAATTTTGTTTATGAGAATTTTTGTTATTAAAATTAGTAACAATTTAATTTAATATGATTTTCAATTTATATTCAATATATTACGGCATCCAGAAATTGTGTCATTTATAATCCATTAAAATTGGATAATTGTTAATTAAGTTATTTCAAATTTTATTAATTTCATTAATTTCACAAAACTGCTACGGGTGCTATGGATGCGGCATTCATGATAAGATTTCTACGAATATTGTTTCCATTAACATTATATCAAATTAAATCTAAAGCAAAGGTCAAGCAAACAATCATACACTGATATGATAATCAAATTAAATTGTGAATTAAACTAAAATGATAGATAGGTCTTTTAGTTTAAAATCTTTTGATACTTAAAACTGAAATTCTATATAACTAAAAATATTGAGGTATTATAAATTCAATGATTATACGAAAAGGATAATACGGCATCAAAATAATTGTGCTATGTATTGTATCTTATAATTTTAAAATAGCCAGGTGGCACGCTGAACTAAATAAACCTAATAAAATAGAAAAAATGTTTACTGTTTACTTCGGACTCAGTGCATCTAAACGTAGACGTAACTCATCATTATCATCACATCTTATCGGCGATGACAGCACTCCGCCTTTTCACGTAAATGAAAAGTCAACGTTATGCAATTATGTAAAATTATATATAGAGAGAAAACAGAATCGAAACGTCTTACATACCCTGATGCCAGATTCAAGCTTTCAAAAAATACCAATTTCATCTCCTGAACAGCTTGGAAACAATCTATTGCCGTTATTGTGTAGTTAACGTTTATGTTAAATGATGTTTGCAATAATAGCTTTGAAGATAACACAACATGACCACGTCATTAACGAAAAGAACTTTACTACGTACGTGTACTAAACAAAAGCGCGCTGTTTGCTTACAAGCAGTTCAAGTACACCTTTCGAGATTTCAGCAAAAATGTCAGAAACAACAGGAATGATCACCGTCAACAATTATAATAGTGACAACACGCGCTACAAAAACTATAATTAAAAGCACAACAACTCCTAACTACAACAACGATAAAGCAAAAAGTAGCAAGACCGAAAATAACATTATCTAGACCACAAGAGCCGTTTTTTCTAGCAATCGGTTCTCTGCGTTTCTCTTCCTGGTGTTTAGTTGTATTTATTCACTTAAACTCCTTCAAAAAGCATTGATGCTTATTATCTTTTCGATATTACGTTCCGTTGTCCTTTAAATGGTCCGTTAATACACGAAAGCTATAGTAGCGTGGACAAAGGTTTGTCCGCTGGGTCCGCTTCTTTGCGAACTTTGCAATCTTTGCTTGCCTACCTTGCAAGACTTCAGAGAAGAAGTTTCAGTTCTTCTGATTTCTTTATTTTTGGATCATATATTTATTCGTTTCACATTACTCTGTTCCGCTTATCATTAAATGTTCATTTCTTCTTAGTCAGTACATTTCACTGGTTTTACTGGTAATAACTTCGTCTTGTGTGACAGTAGGAAAAATGTCGGAATATCTTCCGAATACTGAATGTGTTCGAAGTTGCAATTAGAAATTTCAAGACAAGTCCTAGTTTTAGTTTAATTATTATTTATGACCAATCGTTTCTTTCCGGTTGTGCATAAATGACAAAAGTGTACTTTGAGAATACTTGCTTTGATAATTTGCGATTAAACTTCCAACATAGTATTAAAATTTGTTCTTTAATAAAAAAAATCTTTCAAGATCAAGTTGAAAATGGTATGATTAACGCTATTCTTAAACATTTATATGGGAAAGATCTTCTGAATCATTGGGAATATTTGAAATGTACTTCAGGCTGTTCGGCCTTGGCAATGTTAGAGTACTCGCAGATGGTTGAACGTAAGGGCAATATAATTTCGTTTCAGATTTGTTATAGAATTAAATGATAATTTTTTTGTTTCATTTTTCTTAATGCAAATTAAGTTTTATATAAATATGTTTTTCAAACAACATTCTATATGCAAATACTTTTAATGAAAAGTAATTTGTTAAATATGTTGTAATTTTTTTATATATTTATTTATTTTTTTTTCATTTTACATTTATTGCAGAAATTCACAACATTCTCGACCGTCACACTAAGTCTTTTTGTGGGACTAGTCATATTAAGTGAGTATGAGTAATAATTTTCGTTATATGCATTTTACTATTCCGCATTTGCTTTTCAATGTGTAACATTGTATGTGTGTGTGTGTGTGTATGCGAAAACAAAAGCAGAAATGAAAATTTCTGTGCTTATGAATTGCAAAGTAACATGAGTAGCACATGAAATACATGCATTGTACGAATATATTGTGTATGCAGCAGCTATTGAAAGGTACAAAAGGAAATATTTATGGATATAAGATTGACTGCATGTAAATGTGTCCGTAAATATTGGTTTCAAACTTAAAATTAGGATAGTTACTAAAAATATACAAAATGCATAAAGTCGGATTATGCATTAATATTTTCACTTAGTTCGTACATGCTTGTGCATATATTTTTATGATCGCTATAAGTGTTTGCAAGCAGGTTACTTTTTACAATTCACTTGGCTATTATATGCTAGAAGGATCTCTCTTTTTATGTGTTTTTTTTTTCTAGAAAAAGTTTCAAAGTTAACCGATAAGCAATCTTTGGTCCACCTGTCGCCTTGTCTGTTGGATTGAAAACTTATACTTACACTTTGGTGCATAGATTTCGAAAAATTATTTAAATAACTTCATATGATTTAAATATTTTTTTGGGTGTACCTTATGTGAACTATAGCGAAGTATATCTCCACACTTTCAAATATATACGCAATTATCTTATGTTCAAAGCGAGCCTTTGTGGAGGGGTATCCAAAATTCGCTTTAAAACGAGCTCAGCTATTTTTTTCTTACCAAATATTTTTTTCTCTCTTTGAATTTTTTTCCATTACTTTTATTTCAGTCACAAGACTTGGTTCAGCATGGCATGTTGCAAATACAACAATTATAGCACCATACAAAGCATTCTCGCGTGAGAAATTACCCGCTCGCATAGGTACTCATATTGGCTTAATGCATGTCAATGTAACATTGACTGGTAAGTTATATATTCAACTAAAATTTATATATACCGCAAGACCGCATACGTTAACGTAGGTATGATTCGGTGTCTCTGCATGTTTGTATTTCCATAAATTACTATTATTTGCTTTTGCTTGATAAAAACATATTTTTTTTTTTATTTATTTTTCATTTACTTTATTTTCTGTTGATTTTAATGAAATAATAATAAAGAATGAGTTTTTGCTTTTTTTTTTGCCTTTTTTAAATCAATATCCGTTTAACCTATTGTTGTTATTATTATCATTGCTATTAAATCACTTAATAATAATTATTTTGTTATCTGTCACGCAGGAAAATTTGTGTTATATCAAAATTATCGGGCTTCCGTTCATATAATTTTAATTATAAAGTTTAAAATTTCTATTCATATTTATACATATGTAGACATCTGCACATCTCACATGCATAACAATCTTAATTCTATTGATGATTATCTTTACTGGAATTTTTTTTTTTTTTATTGTTCACTATACGTTCTATGGTCTTTTGGTTGTCAGTGTTATCGTTAGCTTGAAAAACAAAAAAAAAGAAAAATGTTTTTTCTTTTATGCATATCATTTATTTAAGATCTTTCAATTACCGAAATGTTTACTTGCCACCAAGCAATCATAAATGCAAACAACAGCAAAAACGACGGAACAACACGAACAACGGCAGTCATAATAACAGCTACGCTGCCAGGCTTTCAATTTGTCTTTACTTACCTACTACTACAACTGCCAAAGAGTGGTATGATCATTTCATCATATCATTGGTGACTGGTTCTACTCGACATTGCCGATATTCTTTTGCAACATTTTCCAATAGCCTGTCAAATGTTTTGCTTTCAGGTATTTGAGTTCTTGCCATTCGATCAAGTTAACAAACTTTCAAATTCAAAGCGAGAACTTCTTACATGTAATACAACATGAGTAGCATAAGTAGCCGAGTAGATTAGAATCACGTCAACGAGATCTCTTAGTCTCAGTGTACGCGGGGTTAATTGTCAATGCGGCAGAGAATACTCGGCCGTATGCTACAATAATTACTCGGTTGATTGGACTTGCACCCACCCAGAATTTGATATCGATAGAATCGTCAAGGACTAAAAAATTTTATAAATTATAATGCTTGCAAACATGCAATGCACATCCATCATTGATGCGCCAACACGAGCTGTGAGCTGTACCACCATAACAGCTGTCACGTAGCTGCACAGATAAGAATCGCAACTAGTAAGTCTACGTTTGACGATTTAAAGCTCATTGCGGATTCGGATCACTCTTGGCCGTAACTGTAGTTACTGCTCATAGGCTAGAGACTTACTTATCGGGCTGCGACTACGCTCTTTATCTCTATCTCTTTCCCTATTTCGTTTTGGTCCTCACTGTGTTAAACGTATAAGCGAACCCTACTTGATTGGTCATATTCCGAAAAAGAAAGACAAAAGAAACTTACAATTAATTACCTAAGTATGCAAACAAACAAACTTACTTTTCAAATAATTAAAGTTTTTAAATATTTTCGTTGCAAAACACATCGTGCGCCTCATCACAATATACATCAGCGAATTACAACATGCACTACATAGTAACCTGAAAATAGATCTTTTGAAGAGCGTTATAAACTAAAATGCTCGACGCTATTATATTTACATCCTAAACGGCGAGTATCCAAAATTCGCTCTAAAGCGCAAAAAAAGTTTTTGCCTTATTTGCTATACGAGCTCTTTGTGTCATAACTATATATTTTTTGGGTTGTTAAGGAAAAAAGAAAAAAAGAAAAAAAAAAACAGTCAATCACAATATAAGCGCGTGCAAGAGTGTGTAAGTTTTGTTAAAACTAGCATTTTGTCGTATGTCAAACGTCATTCCATGGTTGGTTTTTATAAATTATAACAAAATCGATATTAATACCCGTTCAACATTAACATTGTCAACGGAAAACAAAAAGCTTCCAATTCTTCTTTTTTGCTTAAGATAAAGTCATTATTATTTGTGTGCACTTACATTGTGTGCACTTATATGTGTATATATCTGTATAGGTTTATTTATAAAACAATGGCTTGAAATGTGTGTAGATTTTTGTATTTTTAGATTTTGCTAATGGATTTTCCTCAAAAAGAGGTATCGCAATACATGACTTGAGATAAATATCTATTACGGTGTTTAGACGTTGCAAAATCAGTATGAATTACAATCACTAGTCAACACATCATCACTGAAGAAGTTATAATAAAGCATAATATAGCTTTTGTGTTTATTTATTTATTTATTTTTTTTTTTTGCTTATAATGCAGATCTTAAGTTAAAAGTTTCGTTAACACTGTGACGACACTTTAGAAGTTGTTTGAAATTTTTAAATGAAATGAAAGGGTTTTCTAAATAGTTATAAAAAAATTACCGTTACTTTGGAGATGGCATATAGTAGCATAAAAGGAATGCAATGCTCTTCGTAAGTGTACAGATTCCATAAGAATTTTAATGTTACAAAATTATGAAATCAAGATAAATAATTTATCTTATTCGCAAGTTGGATTGGCTTGCATTTCAGGCAGAATTCCAATCTTTTTCTGTTCTAATTATCGTAGGTAAGGCCGAAATATTCAGGAGCAATCCACCCCCAAAATGAGCAAAAAAGGAGTAAGAAAGAGTAAAAGTGGATCACGGATCGCTGTTTAATACCCCACACGAGCAAATAGTTATTCATACCTCTTTTTCTTAATTTCCTTCTGAAAGTTACTGTTTGGAACGAATAGGATGCATCCTCTGAGTAATTGATCATATTGCAAAAAAAAAATTTAAAAAAATATAGCTTTCAAAATAAGACGTTATATGGGAAGTTTTTCGAAAAGTTATCTAATTAGAATAATTTTCTATAGCGTTTGCCGTTGGGCCAGAATGCGTCAGTGTACCAAGTTTCATTAAAATCTCTCCAAAATTGTATCCTTTAGCTTAACCATAAGACGGGCAGACGAACTGAGAAGCTTAGATCAATTAAGAAATTGGTATAATAAATGTTGGGTCCATCTCAAGTTCATCTGCACAAACTTAATAAACCATTTCTACCACTTGTGTGTATAGGGAATAAGATCGATTGATTTAAGTTTTTTTAAAGCTTTAAAGCTGATTATTTGAATTTAAACACTATAAATATAATGAAAAAAAAAATAGATTATATTTTTTGTTTTCTTTTACTTTTTGATAATCGATTAGCATACAAACAAACAACAAAAATCTCTAAAATTAGACGGCGACATATATTATAAATGTATAAAAACAATATGTTGTAGTAGCGCATAAGTTCATTTATTTTGTTATCGAAACAAAAAAGAAAGAACAAAATAAACAATAGAAAATGGGGCAAAGAAGAAGCATACTAATCCGATTAGTTTGTAGAGGTTTCGTGAAAAGTTTATTGAGATTAATTTTAATGAAAATTATTTTTATTTCCAACTGAATCAATTTTTAGATCAAGTAATATTTAATTCGTACAATTCTAAGCGTGGCCTAAGCTCTCCCAAGTTGTTGTTGTAGGGTATATGCAAAGTTTTTCTGCGCTATGTGTTTTTTAATTTTTTTTAATTCTCATAGTTTTTGTGGAATTTGCGAATTGTGTAAATTTTCCATTCTGTTCCTACTTTTTTTTTTTCTCCAATAACAATATATTATCGATCATTCATTTGACTACATATTATGCAGTATTTCAATGAACACCAAATAATATTGAAATTCTTAATATGTTTGTTTATTCGTTCGTTTGTTTGTTTGTTTTGTTTTTTTGTTCCTTATTACTGACATGATAATATATATGTAGTCAAGGTTTATCTTAAGATTTGTATGGCTACAATAATACTACGATACTCAGAAGCCTTGTGTGTCAAAGTGAATTGAGTTTTATTTGAAAGAGGGTTTTAGTTATTTTACTATGAAATTTTAACACCCACCACTATCAAACACTTTAGTACTAGAACATATTATTGGGTACGTAACATTCTGAGGACAATGGAATGGAATATTCCGAGGTAAAGAATAGAACACATTACTCGGTAAGCTCTTAGAATGACACGCAGATGTAGGACAGCTGTTGACGAACTCTTATCGTTTTTAGATGGTAGCACTCTTCAAGCCAAATGTGTCAAAATTTCACGAGCTTTCGAACCTCTACAACTTAAGGGGTTGCTATGGCGCCGCTACACACGAAGTTCAAATTTTTTTCTCTGTTTTTTAGAAGAAGGTGGTGACATCTACATGTTATCCTACAAACTTATTAAGGAATGTATTACAAACCCTATAACGGAAGACACCAAGTTCCTTTTATTTTTAGGTAAACTTTTTATTTCTTATGGACAAAGTGCTAATGCGATTTAGGCAAACTGCGAAATGAGAAAAAACAAACAGTCTAGAGGTTAACTATCTAAGAAGGTTAATTTTTTTTTTCTTTAACCCCCCCCATTCTGTTTTAATAGGCGAAGAAATTGATCAGTGGACAAATTGATAGTCATTTATCTTGCAAGGTGTTTAATGGATCTGTGTATTTTAAAATCGTGCAATAAAATAAGTAAAAACACTGTAGTGTATATACCCTAAGCTACCCTACCGAATTGTTCATACAACGACTTTTCAAATTAAGGACAGGCAAGACAAAAATGGGTCTATCTCAAGTCTTTCTGTCTGTTGCACACGTCCGCACAAACTTAATACACCCTTCTAACCCAAATGGTGTAGGGTATAATATAACATATTCTTCTCCATATTGATGGGTGAGAAAAATCGAGAAGAAAATTTCTAATCCATTATCTATATTAAATTGATGTGACTTGGTGTTGTTGTTGTTGTTGTTCTATATTGTTTTTCTTCTTTTTTTAAATGATGCACAGGATACAATAGTAATGAAATTGTTTTTAGGCGGGTTTCTTTTTCACTCTGTCGCATCATCACCTTCTGTAAATTGAATGGAACTTAGTGGAGAAACTATGCAATATTGAGAAAATTG